CACCTGCACCCCTACGCGCACGCGCACGCACGCACACACACTCCCACTCACACGCACACACAGGTTGTTCCACCCCGTTTTCTTGAGGAGAGGTCTAGCCCCCGACCGCACCCGTCTCACACTGTCAAATGCGCAGCCGAAGTCCCCCAGGCAGCGCACCAGGGCGTCTTTGGGGCGCCAGGGAAAGTGGGGGCTGAGGACAACGCGGTCAAACGCGCGCGCCGCCGCAAACTGCGCCGCGCTCGCGCCGCAGTGGCCGTCAAACACCTGCCCGGGGGGAGGGGGGGAAGGGCGGGCCGCATGCTCTGGTGGTCCCGCGGGTGTGCAGTGCGTACGTGTGCGTGTGTGTGTGTGTTTGGGTGCACGGACATGCGTGAGTGTATATTTGTGTGAGTGCATATTTGTGTATACATGTGTATGGTGTCTGTGTGTGTATGAGTGTGTGTGTGTGTGTGTGTGTGTGTGTGTGTGCATGCACGCGGCAGGGGAGGAGTGGACACTCAAGGTGCATCCAGGAGAGGCCAGGCGCCACCCCACCAACAGGGGGTAGGGGCCGCCCCCCAGCCAGAGGCGCGACCTGCCACGAGGGGAGGTAACCCGGTCAATGCCACACAGTGCTGCTGCACGGTCGGCGGACAGCTTGGCAACAAAATCGTTAAAACAGCTCACCGCGTAAAAGGCAGCGACGGCAGGCAGCCCCTCGCCGCCCAGCCAATCCGGCGCCGCGCCGCCGGCGCCGCCGCCGCATGCGCCGCACCGCGCCGCGGGCCGGCAGCCGCCCGCGGCACCGCCCCAGCACGGCGCGGCGGGGCGCGCGGCGGCGGAGGCAGCGATATCATCGATCGCCACTGCTGCATCCTCCATGTGGGGGCGGCGCCCCTGGTCCGACGCGTGGCCGGACCGGATGGAAGAGAGCTGGTAGGAAGCTGCCGCAGCCGCAGCAGCCGATGCCCCCGCGCCCACGGCTGCGGAGGGGCCGCCCTTCTTGGGTTGGGAGGGGGATGAGAGGCAGGGGTCGCGGGGCCGCAGCGGGCTGCGGGGGTTGCGCGGGTGCACGGGTCGCTGCTCCTTTGCCAACGTATCGCCCATGGCCAGCGCAGCGACGCGCGGCCCCAATCACCGGGCCCGCTCCCAGCGCAGGGCGCGCACAACCCACCTTGGTGTTTTGATCGCACACGCGTATAAGCGGGAGCTGCGGCTTGACGCCAGCGGCGGTGAAGTGCGTCGTGGCGCTGCCACTCACATGCTGGGGGACGGCCGCACGGTCCGTGCGCGCCGCGCCCAAGCCTACGGAAACCGAGACATCTAATAAGTTTCCTTGCGTCATGCCTACGGATGCCGGCGTGCCATCAGGCTGTCGGTGATTTGTTGGCTGACGGGGCAACGTTGCGTAACTGTTAGAAGGCAAGTATGTGAACCATGCGTGTCTTTGAAGATGGTGTGTCTCACGAGTTCGCGAGGACGATGATGTTGCCGGGCTTTTTGCGCGGCAGGTGGTGAAGGCCGTGTGCAGTGACTGCAACGCCTTTGCGACGGTGACAGGGATTTAATGGTGAAAATCGATGACATATGCGCGTTCCACGTCCCGCCTTGCTCGCTGACATTGGGTCGTACCGCCTGTGCTGCTGACTCCGCGTCAAAGTCAAGTGGATGGTGGCCACGCTAACGTCTTCCAAAAGGGCCCAGGTGCGACCGCAAGTCAGCAATTTACAAAGCAAGGCCTGCCCCAGGCCACCGTGTGCACATGGCCGCTGCATGTGCGCATGGACAATGAGCGGTCTGGCGCGAGAGACTCACGGTGACTCAGCACCAAGCGAGTCTCTCGCGCATTCATCCACATGCTGACAAGGGCTGTTCAGACCATCCAACGCCCTCCGCACCCTGGCATGGGTCAAGAGGGGGCCAGCGTCGGCGCGGGGGTGCGAAAATCGCGCGAGCGCGTCGCAATTACGGCGCGCCACGGCGCGTTTGGGCCTACAACTCCCTGCTCATACAGACTCTACACGGCAGCGACGCACCTGGCTGGCACAGTTCCAAAGGACCCGCATCCCGCGCGGCGCGGCCCTCCCCTCTCCAGCACAAATGGCAATACACCACACGGGGCAGCAAACGACGGCGCCTTCACCCCAGATCAGATCAGTTCAGATCAGATTAGATCCGCGTGGTCGTGCCGAGCGGCTTAACCTCATCCATAGGGCTGTTCCGGATGAAGTTGGCCCATCGGCTGGGCATCAGGTTGGCCAGCGTCACCGCGTCGGTGCCCGCCTTGAGGGCTACCTCAAGGGTGGCCACCTGCAGAGCGGCGTGGTGCCCCAAGGGGGGGGGGAGGGGGCAACAAGTGTGTTTGGGTGGCTGGTTGCAGCCATGGCCGGGCAGTGGAGAAGGTCAAAGGGTATAGCTTGGACACAGCAGGTGAGGCGGCTAGGGGCACGGCCCTGGTGGGTGGTATCGGGTGGGAGGGCGGCCCACGGGGCCGGCCGCAAACATGGCCTTTCTGCGGCGGTCGCGCCCTGCGGTGCGACCAGCCGAAGACCAACCCAGTCGCGATGGCCGCCATCGACCGCATGCCAACAAGGCAAACCCACATGCCACGCACAGCCCCAGCCCCCGGCCCAACCCTGATCCATCACCTCACCCCTGCTGCCACGACCAACCACCCCCCTCTAGCCCCCTCCCTCCGGAAAAGTGAGATAGCGTCGTCACCGCGCCCTCTTGCCAAGCCCCAGACACTCCACATCCCTCGCACCCACGACCACCACCC